AAATGTCTAATTTCTATTCTTTTCTAGCTTCATCTCGCTTAGTAGTGATTGTATGGATATATGCGGCTGTGAGATTACTTAGAGTAGGTTTATCAAAAGTTAAAAGGAATACAAATTTCTCTTTACTAGTCAAATATCTGAAGTGGGGAAATATACTTAATACATGGCTGAAAAATATGAGTCTATCTCTACTATACAATGGGCAATCTATGGTGAAATGTATTTCGTCTTCTATTTGGCCTACGTAAACTACAGAATTGACAGGTTCTTTGTTCTAGAGGAGTGCGGTTATGTCTTCCTGATTCGATTCGTAATTTGTGACAACTGATTCTTAGTTTTGTAATGGAGGACCTGTGACGTATGTTCGCTAAGTTGAGATATTTTTCTTCGTTATAGGAATGTTTTAGTAATCTGTATAGACGTAGTTTGTTCTTAGCATTCACAGCTTTGCTATCATTGTGAATTTCGGATAGGAATGTCTGAAAATAAATGTCTTTTAATCGCTGGAAAATTGATGAAATTGTCTTTTCCTAGTCAGGAGAAAGCTCCAATCTTCCGCCTCTCGTGACCGTACGTCCTGTACTCTGATAACAGGCAGTCACCGCTCTTTAGCCAAATTAAACACATTCATTAATTAAAAACTAACGATTGAAAACCAAATTTATTTAGAGTTAAGGTTCAACCTCTTTAATCTTGGTAACTTTTTTCAGGTAATGGATGCGCCAAATTGTTGCGCAGTACGAAACCTAACCAAAATAATATCGCGCCCAAAATGTGTGATGTCTGCAGAAAGAGACAAACGTTAGATCAAGGACAATTTCTATGATGGAAGCTTCTTGGTTAGATGTCTTTGGTATATGTAATTTGATTAGAAAGAAAACCCTATAGCAGTAAAGTTTAATTCTTTAACTTGTCCGTCGCGAGGTACTGCAACTCCACACATCTTGCGAAAGAATATATTGGAGTAAGGCTCGAACCAAAATCTCCCACAGAAACAAAACAGAAAACAAACCGAAACACTCATTAAGTTGACGCACATTTCTTGCCCAAGACTTCGGCTTCAAGACTGCAAAACTGCATCAATACAGCGCATTTCCAACCAGTTCGCGCCTCTAGAAATTGCTGTAACTTTCATTGATATGGAGAAGACTAATAATGTGTGGAAACCCTTCCTTTAAACTATCTTTCAGTAGCCATTTGTTGTCACCATTCCAGGTGGAAAAGGTTATTTTCTGTCAACCTGATCCTAGATCATGTGAAACATCTTCCTATATATCTTTTCCCCTTGACTTTTGTTCCTGTAGCAGTTTATAGTAGAGAGCAAATCTAGTTCGTGCATC